ATGGTGGCTGCTATTTTGGTGGTAAGGTCCAGTTAGTGAACTATGTGTTCTCTGCTCACAATTCCAAATGGGTATTATCACCATCATCTCTATTTTAAGATGAGGACACCAGATTACTTAACCAAGTAATCTGCCCATAGACGTGAAGTTCAATCCTACTGGTTGGAAGGGGAGTGGGCTGAGATCTTTGAATTCTCAGGCCCAGGGCCTTTTCTGTGCTTCGGTGGTCAGTGTCACCCTCATTTTGACAATTTGACAGTCCGTGTCTCTTCGTTAAAGAAGACTGATTTCGACTTCCCACAAGTGTAAAGACAGTCTATGTTTTCACACCTTGAGCCTCATCTTTACCATGTTGGTCAAGTAGTAAACACACCAAGGATGCTCAGCCTCCCTGGCAGCCCTTCATTCATTCATTCACTCCACAGATATTTGAATCCCTACAATGGGACCAGTACAATTGTAGCTCTAAGGAATCAGCAGGGAAAAAAAAACATAATTGTAATTTCTAGGGAGCCTATATTTTGCAAGGAAATGCCATTTATAACTATCACTTTGGGGGGGGGTGTAATAAGTCTGACAATACCTAGGGTTAAAGAGGAAGTGGGGTGACATTCATAATGTGCTGCAATTGATGTGGCCTGGGGATCTGCCAGTCCGAACAGAGACCTACGCTAGTGCTGAAGGGTTTGAGGCCCCACTGTCCTACTCATTGCTCCTTCATTTGCTGAATCCTGGGATGTCCAGGGAGGAACTGGGGGCCATTCGTCAGCCACTCCATGGTGTGCCATACAGGTGCATATTGTCTGAATGTTGTGACTGGCTGTGGGGGACAAAATTATTATATTTTCTTTCTGGGTTTCAGAAATGGAAGTTCGTATTTTCCATGGTCAGTGGTGCTCAATGAATATCTGGCTTCTTCGTATCTCAGTCCCCATTGCCCACTGCACTTAACCACAAACCTATATTCTCTATGTGTTATCATCAGGCACAGTTCCGGCACTACAGTGGTAATGGGGGAAATGAAAACGATAGAGACTCAAACTGAACTTCAACAGGCTGCGAACTTGAGTGAAAAGCAAGACTTACACTTAGAACAGCGGTTCTCAACCTGTGGGTCGCGACCCCTTTGGCGGTCGAACGACCCTTTCACAGGGGTCGCCTAAGACCATCCTGCCTATCAGATATTTACATGACGATTCATAACAGTAGCAACATTACAGTTATGAAGTAGCAACGAAAATAATTTTATGGTTGGGTCACAACATGAGGAACTGTATTTAAAGGGCCAGAAGGTTGAGAACCACTGACTTAGAAGGCAGCAGCCATGACATAGGTCGGTGACCAGTATCTCCAGCTACTAATATCGACATAGGAACTGACAACATTCCTGCAGAAGCAGATGGGCTTTATCTTCTGTTGCCCAGAAGAGGGAGCTACATGGTAAGAGCTCTTGAAATGAGGTTCTGTATGGAAATGCACCTCAAAGAAACTGCATCTGGGAAAGAGAAAATGAGGGCGGAAGAGGGCAGAGGATCCCACGTACAGTAATACGGTTCTGGGAAGCTTTAAAAAACAAATGGACTGTTTGTATGACCTGGTTTATGGTAAAGCCATGCCAGACGACGTGGTGCAGCCCCATGGGAACTGAAGCAAAGTCAAGACCTCCAGCTTTAGCCCAAAGATGAAAAAGATATTGGTAATGATTCTCTGTGTAAGGTATCTTGAGTCTGTTATACAACTGGTTTAAGGGAATGTACTATTCCATTGTTACTTCATAGGAAACCAATTTCTGAGTTCCAGCTACAAAGAACAGCTAAATATTGCAAGGGCATGATATTCAGCTTAGAACATTGATATCTCTCTTGATTTGAACTAATAAAGCTGTGGTACCAACAACCACATTAAGGAAGTGTCACATTATAAAGCCTTTGGAATAAGTTGTGAAACAGTAAATAAACTGAATTGCATATGGTCGTGTGAATCTGACACATTTTCCTCCCTTCCCCAAGTGGCCACATCACTGAACACCACCAATAGGGTTGGGTCATTTGCATATACTTCTACCATGTAGCCTATCTTATAATCTCCAAGGACCTTCAGATAAGGAGAACGTGATGGTGGAGTTGAGGACAGAAGAAATAGATGAAGGCATCTCCATGAACAGGTCCTTCCCTGAGGATAGAGACTATGCCTCGCTCATTTTTATAGATGGAGGGACCAGGCACATTGTAGGTCCCTGACAATAACACTGATAGATGTGCCCAAGGGTTGGTTCTAGTCTTCCAACCAGTGTACACTCCTAGAGACAAAGGAAGATGAAGCAAACAAAAGTATATTCAGAACCTGGGACCTGGATGGTCAATTTGTGGAACCAGTCTTCTCCCAATAAATCTTACAGGTTAAGTCTGAAGAGGTGCCAAAATGTTCGTATGTGACTTACATGGAAGTCTGTCCCAGAGTTGTTTGAAAGAACAGGACAGGTGTGGGAGAGCACGGGGTGCCTTGCAGAAGGGCTCTTTGGGTGATAATATGGACAGTATGGCAATACACACAGATGGGTCCACCAGTGTTGCCTCTAAGTTACCCTGTGGTGAAGACGTCCTCTATTTTTAACTTCCTGTGGTAACCAAGTACCTCTCAGGATGCTGTAAGTAGATGGTACAAAGTGATAGCAATGCATTTTTTCAGATGAGCTGCAAAAAGGCAAACAAAGGTACTGTTTTTGAGATTGGTCTGAATGAGGTCTATGACTTCTCCTAACCCCTACTTCAGGATTCGGTGTAGATCCTCCAGGTAAACACCTTTGACCCATATCGCCACCCAAGCTGGACTATGTGACTCTCCTGTGTGTTCCAGGATCACCTGTGTTTTCACTTTCATAGCCCATTTCAGGGCATAACGCATGAAGTTTGCAACAGTCTCAATCTCTCCCAGGAGACCACATATTCCTCAGAGCAGTGTCCACTGTCGTATCTCCATGGAATAGTTAGTATAGAGCCTGATATGTAGGCACTCAAGTATTTCCGAATGCTTTGCGTCTGTTCAGTGGTCAGCAAACTCATTAGTCAACAGAACCAAATATCAACAGTACGATTGAAATTTCTTTTGAGAGCCAAATTTTTAAAACTTAAACTATATAGGTAGGTACATTGTTATTAATTAGGGTACTCCTAAGGCAGTGATGGTGAACCTATGACACGCATGTCAGAGGTGACACGCGAACTCATTTTTTTGGTTGATTTTTCTTTGTTAAATGGCATTTAAATATATAAAATAAATATCAAAAATATAAGTCTTTGTTTTACTATGGTTGCAAAGATCAAAAAATTTCTATATGTGACAGGGCACCAGAGTTAAGTTAGGGTTTTTCAAAATGCTGACACGCCGAGCTCAAAAGGTTTACCATCACTGTCCTAAGGCTTAGGAAGAGCCACACTCAAGGGGCCAAAGAGCAGCATGTGGCTCTCGAGCTGCAGTTTGCTGACCACGGGGGTGAACAGATTTCGCCCTGTGGTCACTGGTCCCACCATTCCAAGCCCAACAGAACACAACTGAGGTGGAAAGGCTGAGAAAGGGATGCACTGGCTAGAGTAACTGAAAAATAGGGAAGACTTGAGTCCAGTTGACCCAACTTCCCTGCTTTCATGAGAACTGGGAAGGCATTCCACTGCTCTAACACCCCACCAGGAATTCCAACAACCTGATTCATTCCCCTATACATTCCCATAAGAGATTAGTGTGTTACTATGAGTTGAATCTCATTGCCTTTCGGACACGTGTGAAGTAGGAGTTTGAAGCGTTGTGGGTGAACTAACTTAAGGCACTTAAATGGCCACACTGGGGAAGATGTTGGGCCCTAGGAGGTGGGGAAGATGCTGATGCCAGTATATGGAAGAGGAAGCACAGAAAGAGGAAGGCGGTGCCATTGCACACTTCCCTACTGTGGTCCTTCCTGGAGTCTTCCCTTTATCCTGGAGGCTAGATGAAGTCAAGCATACATTTGGAAATCAAGTCCAAAATGTAAGGTAACTCCCAACAACTACCCCAGTTTGAGAATCACTGGCATGCTTCTTCCAGATTGTAAGAGAACATGTTTAACATAAATGGCATACCATCGGAATAAAGAAAATTCCAGGCAGGAGAATTTTCTGCTGCATGCTGAGCTAGGATGCTCAGGGTAAGTGTAAGGCATGGCTGCATTAACTGGCCTTAGGGTTTTCAGAAAGAACATTCCAATCGGGGCCAATTGTGTCGCTGAGATAAACTTTCAAAGGCCAGGTCTAGGAGCAGTTACTGGAGAGAGCTGGGGAAGGAGCCTGTCTCGGTTACTCTTTATACTAGTAAAGAATCCAACCCCCAGGGGAATAGTGAGTTCCAGGGACCCTGAGTGATGACAGCAGCAACTGAAGCTGGAGAGGGAGGGACACTTGTCCCTGAGCAAGATGTGGCTCCTCCTTGGCTCCTCAAAGAACAGACGCCCTCCCCTAGCTGCAGGCACCAGCCCAGACTGCAGAACTGCCTCGCTGCACACAGTCAAAACCAGGAGTTCCCAGGAGGGCTGTGCTTAGCCAACAGGGCGACGGTGAATTTTGGATGTGGGTGCTTGACCCCGTATAGTCATCCCTAAATCCTTATAATTTTTCTGAATCAGTTGTTCTGGGCATAATCATAATCATGGGGTGATGGCAATAAGATCTAAGCAAGTTAAGTACATGATTTTTTACTGTTATTACAGGACACCCAATTACCCCTCCCTACCGCCCCCAAAAAACTCAACCCATCGTGCCAGGGTTTATGAACACAGGCTTTTGTGAGCAGCAAGGCCCAACATACTTTACACTGTTGAGTGAAAAAATGAAAACAAATGTGGATGATATGCTAGCATTTTATGTTAAAAAACAAACAAAACCCACATTTGCTTAAGATTCATAATTAAACCTTATGTACCTTTGAAATTTGGAACACATGCATGTATTATTCAGAAATAAAAAATAAATACATTTGAAAAATAAATAATGAGCTTTTATTATCTTCAACAACAGACAAGAGTGGAGCCTGAAGCCTGGGAATTCAGCAGCCTTGCTGTGGAGGTGGCAGCCCTGGAGGAGTGTCCTCAGAGGCTCTAGTCCGGCCACCCCGACTTCCTAGGAATCGCAGGCCACAGTGACCAGCAGGAGGAGGACCGGGAGGGCCCGTCCTGCCGACCTCAGCGCCGTCCAGAGCTGGCACCTGGGAAGACACAGTCCCTCTCGGGGGTCACAGCTTCCCTGGAAGGTAGGTGAGAAGTCACTCGTGTGTGTGACACCGATGTGCTCCTTGGTGTCCCCTCTCCGACTCCAGGCCCCCTGTTCTCGGCCACAGTGTGTGATTCTGAGACGAGAACGCGGACAAGCCGAGCGGCTGTCAGTCCGAGTCCGAGCTCTCACTTGACTTGGAAGACTTATGCTTTCGCTTCTTCTTCCTTTTCTTTTCTTTCTTCTTTTTCTTATGCTTTTCTTTCTTCTTCCTTTTCTTGTGTCTCTCCTTACATTCCGAGGAGCTGGAGCTGCTGCTATCGTCATCTGAGGTGGAATCCTCCAGCAATTGCTTTAACTGCTGTATCCTAGACAGAGAAGACTGGTCAAAGAACCAGAAACCGTAACAACATCGTCGAAGAATGTGGTTTTTTAAAAAAAATATATTTTATTGATTTTTTACAGAGAGGAAAGGAGAGAGACAGAGAGTCAGAAACATCGATGAGAGAGAAACATCGAACAGCTGCCTCCTGCACATCTCCCACTGGGGATGTGCCCACCGGAATCGAACCTGGGACCTTCCAGTCCGCAGGCCGACGCTCTATCCACTGAGCCAAACGGGTTTCGGCATCGAAGAATGTTTTTAAATATAAGATTAGTAGTGAGGATAAAAAAAGTCACAGATAATCACCTCATCCAATACAGTACTTATTTTTTATTTTTGCATGTTGCCCATTCCTGTCCACATCCATGCCTATTTTACAGGACTATTTACATTCATTCTATCTACCTGTGTACAATCGTTCTGTATCCTTTTCATTGTCCTAAATATTTCCACGTTTCCTTTTTAAATTTTTATTATTATTTTTTGATAGTATGTTTATTAAAGCTGGGGACAGTGAAACAAGGACGGGACTAGGATGGAAGTAACAGGAGAGCTTACGCGGGGCTGCTTCGCTCACTAGGAAGTCAGAGGAAGGGGGCCTTGGGGACCTTTTCATCAGGGGGTTAGCCAGGGATGCGCTGTCACTCCCCACTGCTCCCCTGGTTGCAAGTCTCATGGGGTCCCTTAGAGTTTAGGAGATAATATTCACTTGAAAAGGAGATGTGAGTGCACATGCCCCAAGGAGGTGTGCCTGCATATTTCTATAGGCCCTCCTATTGTAACCTCTAACAGATACGGCCTTTCCTAAATCATCCCCCACTGCTCAAGTTCATACTATGTAATCTACCCCCTCAACAATTATAACTCAAGACCACAAATCTGAAAAAATAAAAACCTCCTGTTTTTTCACTGTCTTTATTCATGTTGAACAATAGCTCAGATCCCTGAAGACATTGGAGAAGATAAACTAAATCATATGAAAGAGAACCAATCAAACAGTAGAACCACACACCAGGAAGAGGGCTGCCAACATCAACCATCCATGCGTCAGCAGGCTGGGCCACGCCCACTGCATTAAGCTAATCCAAGTGGAGCAGGCTACCTGCTCATTCCTGAACACCAGCCTTTTCAGTAAGTCCTCCTGACCTCCAAGTGCTGCGCAATGAAAGCACCACATTTATTACACTGCTCCTCTAATAGGAATAGTTTCCAACGTAATACCATTTAAAACTTCAAGAGGGTCTTGTTATCATCAGGACAACCTCACCTTATATCCTTTTCGTGTCTTTTATTCTCTCGGATGATGTCATACATGGGATCTTCATGTGCCTTGAGGGTTAGAGAAAGTTAAGGTTGGGTAAGACTTCATGAACCATTAATTAAATAAATATTAAATCTCTCTGTTACTAAAACCAGTTATTTTTTTCCAGTTTGGTAATTTTTTAACATGTTCTAATTCTTCCTGACTGCTAACTCATTGATGCTGTGAAAAGGATTTTCCAATTAGAAAAACACAGGATTGAAAATAAAATAAAATAATTTTTAAAAAGAAAAAAGATTTAAAAATATAGGATTGAAAAAATATATATAGCATATAATTTAAGTATCTTTTATAAGTAAATAAACTCTGGCAGAATCACAAACTACTATACAAGGTAGAAATATTGAGGTAATTCTCTTTGGTCTATGTGTATAGATGACTAAGAGATAGGTTTTTTTAAAAAGTGAATTATAATAGATGATAATGAAGCATTTATAGATACACAAAAATATATGTACCCTAAACCAAGTCTGGAAGTATACAGAAGTACAGATAACTTAAAATGACTTGAATTACTTAAAAATAAGAATAAGTATGAGAAATATTATGGTATGTGAATTACCTCAATTAAAAAAAAGAAGAAATATTTATTGTAGAAATTTTTGGGTTATAAAAAAATTTTTTAAAAATTTATTACCTCACTACCTAAGGGGTAATTACTACTAACATAAGTCTCTTTCCATTTTTTTCAATCATATAATTATAAAGTTATCCTGATACATACATAAGCAGCTATGTATATAGTGATGTTCTCCTATGTCCTTAAGGTAAACTCTTAGAAGTGGGTTTTCTGAGTAAAAAAAATAAAAATAAAAAAGAATATGTTTAAAGTTTTTGAGGTTTATCACCACTTTATGTTCTATAGTATCTATAAAAGTATACATTCTGCCCTGGACAAGTAGCTCAGTTGGCTAGTGGAACAACAAATCGATGTTTCTCTCTTCCCATTCCTCTCTCTCTCTCAAATCAATTTTAAAAAATTGACATTCTACCTAGAAGAGGAATGACTGATCAAAAACGTATTTAAGATTATTATAAAATTAAAACACATTTTAAAAAATATTTTTATTGATTTTAGAGAAAGAGGAAGGGAGAGAGAAATATTAATAGACTGCCTTCTGTATGCCCCCTACTGGGGATTGAGCCCACAACCTGGGCCTGTGCCCTAATCGGGAATTGAACAGGTGACCTCTTGGTGCGTGGGCCAACACTAAACTGAGCTACACTGGCTGGGCTAAAGCACAACATTTTAAATGTCTAAAAAACTTTGGCCCTGGCCAGTGTGGCTCAGTTGGTTGGAGCGTCATCCTGTGCACCAAAAGGTCTTGGGTCTGATCCCAGTCAGGGCGTGTAAGGGAGGCAACCAATTGATGGTTTCTCTCTCTCCCTCTCTTTCTAGAATCAATAAAAAACACATCCTCGGGTGAAGATTAATAAAAAAAAATAAAGACTGAATAAATAACAATGTATACTTCATAAAAAGAAGCACTATTCCCAACATATAAGCAAGTGCCACTTTAATAAGAAGTTAGTTTTTTGTTAATAAACTAATCTATCACACAAATGTAACTTAACAGACATGTAGTTAACATCAGATACTTTGGCCGAAATGCTTCAGGGAATGTATTTTATATGAACTCCAGTTCACCAGTTACTGGACATGCACTATTTCTAATAAATGTAAATTCACATGGTGGGGTTCTACTTACTACTCTGAACTGTTCTAACTTTTGGTTGCCTTTGATAAAGAAAGGGCATTCTTTGTCGCCCGTTCGGTGACCATACCGTTTACAGCGCCAACCTAAAAACAAAGAAAAAAGGGAATATTTCCGTAAGATAACACAGTGTCATTTAATGAAGATAATCAGTAGATCACATTAAGGTTTTTCTTCATTAGACTCCAATCGAAAAGCATATGCAATCAGTGAATGAACCATTAAGAGTCTAGAAAATTGGCAACGCGTGAGTGAGATTGCTGGCAATGCATAGCAGTAGGCCCACTCCAGAAATACTGACACACACTTGAATTTCAAAAGACTTACTGGTGATTTGTAGACATATTAAAGTTTAAAAACCACTGTTCTAGGTAACACTACAACCAATAAAAAAGAATGAAGGTATGTATAGTTTACATGTCTGGAACAAGTTCAAGTTTTGTGGGACCTGGAGGCAGTGCGCGCTTTAGGGAAAAAAACAAACATCTTGCCTTGGGCAAATTTTACAAAATCGTATGACCATATCAACATATCGATGGGATCCCTGCAGGCCCTTGAAAGGCACCACTGAGGTTCCCTGAAGCTTAAACTTCAATTACTTCTTGGTAGAATTGGTCTGGTCCCAACCCAAACACACTTACTTTCCAAGTCAATGCAAATATCTATAAAATGGAAAGTGAAATGCAACTCACAACCTCATCAAACAGAGTAGTAATTTTCAAACTTCAAAAACTTCAAAAAAAAACAACCAAAAAAACTCTAGCCATAACCGGTTTGGCTCAGTGGATAGAGCGTCGGCCTGCGGACTGAAAGGTCCCAGGTTCGATTCCGGTCAAGGGCATGTACCTTGGTTGCGGGCACATCCCCAGTGGGGGGTGTGGAGGAGGCAGCTGATCGATATTTCTCTCTCATTGATGTTTCTAACTCTCTATCCCTCTCCTTTCCTTTCTGTAAAAAATCAATAAAAAATAAATAAATAAATAAAAATAAAAAAAAAAAACAAAAAAACCTCTAGGCCCTGGCAGGATAGCTCAGTTGGTCAGAGCACCATCCTAAGACACTAAGGTTGCAGATTCAGTCCCTGCTCAGAGCACATACAAGAAGCAACCAATGAATGCATAAATAAGTGGAACAATAAAATCAATGTTTCTCTCTCTCTCTCTCTCTCAAATAAATTAAAAAAAGTTGTAGGCTTCTGGGTACCGATGTCAGACCGAACACATTCATCTGCTTTCATTCCCTTCCTAAAAAGTCATCTAAATGACAATGAAGAAAATTCTTTTCAGAAGTGAGAACCCAGGAAGTATGTCAAGAATGGCCAAGTGACAATCTCTATAAATTTGTTCTTCCATAAAAGCACTGACAGGAGTTGCAAATTTGCCCAAATCAACTTCTGTGCAACCCTGGGAATTAGCCAAAGGCCTGCCACGACCTGAGGAGCATTAATTCAACAAAAAGCAGTGGACCTTGGCTAAGAACAGCAGGATCTCTGGCATTTTAACTGGACCCTCTCACCCCTTCTATAAGTCTTGAAAGCAAGCAGCCTACAACGCCAGCGGCTGTGAAAAGCAGCAGGCTTGCACCCACTGAAGCGGGAAGCCTGGGATTTTGAAACCTTATAAAGCCCTACCCCCAGTTGAAAATCCACATGTATCTTCTGACTCCCCCAAAACTTAAAATTGCCTACTGTTGCCCTGGCTGGTTTGGCTCAGTGGACAGAGCGTCAGCCTGCGGACTGAAGGGTCCCAGGTTTGATTCCGATCAAGGGCACATGCCTGGGTTTCCGGGCTTGATCCCCAGTAGGGGGCGTGCAGGAGGCAGCCAATCAATGATTCCCTCTCATCATTGATGTTTCTATCTCTCTCCCTTCCTCTCTGAAACCAATAAAAATATATTTAAAAAAATAGCCTACTGTTCACTGGAAGCCTTACTGATAACACATATTTTGTATGCTATATGTATTACGTACTGAATTCTTACAATAAAAAGAATCGGTGACTAGAGAAAAGAAAACGTTATTAAGAAAATCATGAGAAAATACATTTATAATACTTACTGGAAAAAAAATCTGTGTATAAGTGGACCCACGTAGTTCAAACCTATAATGCGGTTCCACATACTACTATGAACTGTTCTAGATTTTTTTGTTTTGTTAGTCCTCACCTGAGGATATTTTTCCATTGACTTTTAGAGAGAGTGGAAGAGAGAGGGAAAGACAGAGAGAAATATCGATGTGAGAGAAACACATCGATTGGTTGCCTCCTGCACATGCCCCGACCAGGGCCCGGGGAGGGGAGGAGCCTGCAACCAAGGTACATTCCCTTGACTGGAATCGAACCCAGGACCCTTTGGTCTGCAGGCCCACGCTCTATCCACTGAGCCAGACCAGCTAGGGCTGAACTGTTACGGCCAAAGGTGATCCTGAGTGGGGGGGAGGAAAGGATTGAGAAAAGACAGACAAGAGAATGAAAGCTGGGTCTCGGTGGGACGCTGCTCCCTGATGAGGAGACAGCGCCAGCGCCCACAAGCCGTGTCTTTATTTTATAGCAGATGCCACGAGGCAAAGTAGGAGCGTGATCACGTTGTTTACAGCATTCTCGTGAGTTCCAACCCTACTCAACTACATGCACCCGAACTCCATCACAAGGCACGTGGGGCCACGTGTTTGGACCATAGGTTCAAGCTCACAACCACAGCCATTGGCTATGATTGTGCTGGGAGGGCCCTGCCCTCCAGCTGGGACTTGCACGTGGCAATGAGAGGACCCTGTCCTTTCATTAGTCCGAGGCTTGAACCTGGCCAAAACACTGTAACCGCGCCCCACACTGAACTTTTCCAAATTTTTAAAAAATTGTGGTAAAAATACAGGCAGACCTAGGAGATATTATGGGTTCGGTTCCAGACCATAACAATAAAGTGAGTCGTAATGTTTTTGCAAGTGGACCATCTTGCCTTCAGTCAATACATAACCAACATTTGTGAAACGCAATAAAGCAAGCGCAATAAAATGAGGTTGGCCCATATACATAACATTTACCATCACACTCTCCCTCTCCATGACTCTTTTCCTTTGTAAAACTGAAACTCTATATTCTCATTAAACAACTCCCCATTCCCTTGTGAACCGTGGTGTCACCCGCGTGTGTTCGGGAGTCCCGGACGCGCTTGCACACTCACACTGCATAACTTTGACCTCCTTCCCCAGGGGCATCCAAAGCCCTTTGGTTGGCGCGTGAGCCAGGAATTCCCGGGCATGCTCATTGCCTGGCACATCTGGTATACAGTCTTCCGGCTTCGTCTCATCCTCCTAAAAAGGGAAACAGCGAGTAAACAATCTGGCCAGAAAGCGCCGGATCCTCTCCACCTGCCTCAGAACACAGGGGGCCTGGCTTTCTCAGGGGGGAGCTCCCAAAGTCATCACGAGTCACCTCTCAGGAACCGGAGACACCACTGAGGCAGGACAGAAAAAGTGGAAGTGAATGTGCTGGAAGAACTACATCACAAAAACGAAGTGGCTGTTCTTGGAGCGGATAGAAATCTGTCCTTCATATAGGAGTGATCTGCAAGCTCGAAATTCTAATGTATATCAGATTCCAAGATCAAGAAAAAGGTTTCAGCCCTGGCCGGTTTGGCTCAGTGGATAGAGCGTCGGCCTGCGGACTGAAGGGTCCCAGGTTCGATTCCGGTCAAGGGCATGTACCTTGGTTGCGGGCACATCCCCAGTAGGGAGTGTGCAAGAGGCAGCTGATCGATGTTTCTCTCTCATCGATGTTTCTAGCTCTCTATCCCTCTCCCTTCCTCTCTGTAAGAAAATCAATAAACTATATTTTAAAAAAAACAAAAAAAGAAAAAGGTTTCACCTCACCCTGGTTGGGTAGCTCAGTGGTTAGGGTGTCATCCTGATATGCCAAGGTTACAGGTTCAATCCCCAGTCAGGGCACATACCAGAATCAACCATGGATATCTCAATAAGTGGAACGACAAATCGATGTTTCTCTCCCCCCACCTCTAAAATCAATAAATGTTTTTTTTAATGGGAAAACCCTGTGTGGAATGAGCACAGCATAAGAATTAAGCAAGGCCGCCTGGAATAATGAAATGGCATGTTGCTTGTTAACCTTGCGAGCCACTGCCATGTTTTCTAGTCACACACGTGTTCTATCTCTGCTATGCATGTCACTACTGAATAACTAGTTATACTTAAGGGCTTCCTCCACCCCCGTTTCCATGAATATTACATTTATAATAAAAATTTTTAAATTCTTTTTTTATTTCTATTTTTAAAAAATTTTTATTTTTGTACCGATGCCCCCGTTTCCCTCCATTTTTAAAAAATATATATATCTTTTTTCTAATTTCAGAGAGGAAGGGAAAAGGAGAGAGAGATAGAAACACCAATGATGAGAGAAAATCATTGATCGGCTGCCTCCTGCACGCCCCGCACTGGGGATCAAGCCCGAAAGCCAGGCATGTGCCCTGACTGGGAATCGAACCGTGACCTCCTGGTTCATAGGCTGATGCTCAACCACGGAGCCATGCCGGCCTGGCTTACATCTTTTTTAAAAATTGAAAGTTTAAATCTTTAAACAGAAAAGGCTGCTTTGGCTTTGCACCACTCCTCTAAGCCTCGCTCCCCCAGAGAAACAGACACTGGCCAGGGGGCTGGAGGAGGGGCTCCTGCAGGGGACTCGGGCGGGGGAGCCCCAGAGTCTCCATTCTCTGAGCTGATGACAGTTGAGAAACCAGTGCCAGATGAGAGAGTCAGCACCAGGGCAGCAGAGATGGAGGGAGAGAGGAGGGGCGATGGCTGAGGGCCTGCCTGGGGTTCTTAAGGAACAGACACCCGGCTGAGTAAATTGCCACAAAGGCACAGGCTTGTGACAAAGCCCGAAGTGTCTGACTGGCACCTGCGGGAAGAAACAGGGTGATCACAAAGGGAGTCCGCGCACTGAGTGACTTATGTCTAAGAGAAGAGCCACAGGACCAACTTCACACTGACCTTGATAAGCCCAGGAGGAGGTTTTTCATAACTAGAAAGAAAAAAGAAAACAAACCCATCATCAACCACGTTAACAGGAACATAACAAGAAAAAGGCAACTGTAGGCTAAACTAAAAAGGGTGTTTTTAATAAAAACCTAGAAGTACGTTATGTCTAAAACAGTTAATAGAACATGCCCGACACTCGAGATCACATATAAATAAACGGACGCTCTCCCACATCCCGCTGAGATGCAGAACTCAAATTCACCGAAACTGTAACTCACTTGCCGTCTTAGCACAATGATTTTCTCTTTGGAAGAAGGGAAAGCAAGAGATCACAGGGAAAATGTGAGTTCGTTATGGTTCCAAACTGTCATTATCGTTGTCAGCTTGTCCACCCAGCATCGCTACACCGACTCAACGTGGAAGAGACTCAGGGCGGGGGGCTGGGTGACCTGCTCTGAGGGGCTGGGGTCAGCACAGGGAAGGGCCTGCTGGAGGGAAGGGCCTGCTGGAGGGAAGGTGGTCTGTCCCAGAGGCTCCCCCTTCCATGTCCCTGAACGTCCCAATTCAAGATCCTCCCACCGCCTCTGCCAGAGTGAGCCCAAGCCGCTGCCTCCGGCCCCTCAGCTCTCTGCCCGCATGGACCCCACTGGAGTCCAGGTGCAGGGACCCTGCACGATGCCTGGACCACAGGCAGCTGGATGGTACATGCCAAATGCCAGAGCTTTTCTAGTGCACAGAGGAGGAGCTGCCCCACGAATATTACATAGAGAAGAACTGGGCATGAATAGACTGAGCCGCTGAGGTGTGGTACAGTGCTTTCCAAAGCAAGTGCTTCAACTATTTTCTAACACAAAGTGGTGGCAGGTCCTAGCCGTAACTTACTTAGCAACAGCACTGGAACCTGCACAAATTGGGACAATGATACAGGTCACCTGCAACCATTCATGAGAAACACGAATGGTACGCCTTATGCATAGAGACGGAAGGGAGTCTGTAGTACAGACTACAAATCCGACAATAATACATCCTTTCAGCCACAGGAGTTGCACAAACAACAACATATGGCCAATCGAACTGAAATCCAAACTCCTGAAAAATATGTAACTGTTGTTGCCAAAGTGAAAAGAAGTGTGATGGAACCACACATTGGAAATCTGCGATTGGCCATGGCGTTGCCTCAAAAGTCCATTTCACCACTGTTTTCACAGTTTAAAGGACAGTAGTTGATGGTGTTTCCTACGGCTAAACAATCCGTGATTTTAACATATTAAAAAAGAAAAATTCTCCAAGTTTAAAGTCACATTTAACTCTGAAACAGACCAGATTTGGAAATGGGGCTATATTAATGTATAGTTGGCTTCTGCCCTCTGACAGTCAAGAATCTACATGTGTCTTTGCAGTTAATTCTTAACATTAAAAAAAAAATTGGGGTAATGTCGGGATAAGGACACATATGTAATAACTTAATAAAAAATTAAATAAAAGTAAATAAAAAGTGGAAAAAAAAAGTTGGTGGAGGCCCATCCTTTTGTACCATCTGAGAAGCCAGCTGTGAATCCATTCAGACTGTAATAACTGGCTCTGTGTCGTCAGAAGACTGATCTTCCCAATGGTGTATGGGGTGAGGAACCTTTGGTTTGGCAGACACAGAGCACCACACCGAGGGCCCCCAGGGGCCAGGACGGTGGGTGCCAGCCCAGCAAGGCCCTGTCCTGCAGCCACTGTCCTACTGAGGTGACACTCAGCTCCAGGGCCACACTGAGAACATAGTAAACATATCATGCAGAGCAGGCCAGGCTCCAGCAAAGCCATGCACTTTGTGTCAAAGCTCCCAGGAGGGTCATTATCGAGCTTTGTAGCCCTTTGAAGACCTTTCCTTACAGGACTGGCTTAGCATCCTGCAACAGAACAATTTATTAATTAACTCCGTGAACACCAACCTTTAAGAATTAAAGCTAATGACAGAATGGCAGGATGACAGGAATGAGCTGGAAGGTCCTCAATCCAACCTCCCACCCGATGTTTCTCCTTTTCCACCCGCCCTCCTCCCAGCGGTTCCCTGGACCCTCCTCCGTGCGGCCAGGCGCGCCTGCAAAGGATGTGAGTCTCCCGTCCCAGTTCCTTCTGCTGAGCTGGAATCGGCCTCTGGGTGGCCTCCGCCCTCAATCCGGGTAGAAGTCCTCAGGCCCAGAGGGCGAGTCCGCACTCCCCTCCACTGACAGCCCCTCCCCGTCCGCAGGACAAGCCCCTCACCCAAAGTTTACTCTCTTCCCACTAGCGCTGCAGGGCTAGCAACCAGAGGAGAAGACGTTCCCAGGTTCACAGTGGCTCTGACCCGAACACCGCGAAAGGGCAGGCACAAGCGCGCGCTTCCCGCGTATTCATTCATTCATTCATCCATTCATTCATTCCCCAGATCAGA